CCTTCCTAACTTCCCACCCTCACATTTGCACCCCCAAGTTTTCCTCTGCAGGTCAGTAATGGGGGTAGAGAAAGATTATGTGGTGTTCAGGCAGAGTCCCACTCAATCTCCACTCCTCTTGGGAGCCCAAGTCCTTCCTAAAGATATAGCTCCATTTCCTAACTTGGCATCCCCTTTAGGAAAACCCCTTTGGGATGCAGCAGGGCAGACACTGCACTGAATCTTTAGAGCAATCCCTCTGAGGAATGATGCTGTTTAGTGCCTCCCAAAAGTTCCCCCAATAGTTTCATTCTTCCCCCCATTTCCTCCAATACTCTGACTTTGAAAGGCTGGTGAGTGTAGAGTTAGGCTAAGCCACTGAAGTTCAAATGGGTTTGGGGAAACCCTGGGGAATTGGACTTCTGCCCCCAAAGCCTGGTCAGTAGAGATCCCACCTCCATAGTCAAAGGAGTTGGGGAACCCCAGTTCTAGGTTTCTAGGTGACAGCTGCCCTGATCAACCCTCAAACAGAAAGGCCAGGATTCAGCCATACCATAATGGACCCCAGGGGCATCCTGAAGGCATTTCCCAAGTGGAAGAAAATCCTTGCCAATCCATCATCAAAAGGACTTGCAGAAGGAACCAAGATGGCGGCATAGGTAAACACCTGAACTTGCTGCCTCGCACAACCACATCAAAAATACAACTAAGAGACAACGCAGATATCATCCAGAACCATGGGAAGGCTGGCTGAATGGAAGTTCAACAACTAGAGGGAAAGAGAAAAGCGCATCTAGACTGGTAGGAGGTGCAGAGGTGCGGAATAGTGGAGGTATGGAGACGCGTGAAATGGGCTTGCAACTGGGTACGCTGTGGTCTTTTTCAATCGGAAGGGAGATACAAACTCCTTACTGCTTTGAACTCCAGTTCCGGGCCAGTCTCTAGGGACCCAGACTCATACAGGTTGAAACTGGACTGTATGGCTTCGGGCCGGAACACGAGGGCGGCTTTCTCTCAGAGGTGCTCGCTGTTCATTGTTCCTGCACGGGACCGCTGTACACAGAGACCCAGGGACCTATCCGAAGCAGGGCCAATGGGCAACCATTGCTGTTTGCACCGCCCCATGATTCCCTGAGACCACACCCAAGCTGTGCACAGAGGCTTTTGCATATGAATGGCCTGGTCCTTTGCAATCTAAAACCTAACAAACTGCAGCTGGGTCAAGGAACCCCAGAGCTTCCAAAAGAAGGCCTAAGGCTCATCAGCAGCCTGAATTGCTTCACAGCTGCGCCTCATCTGGGCACCTCCAAACCCCAAACAAAAAGAAGGAATCTGCAGATCTCTCTGTAGCTCCTGCTGGGTGGCCTCAGGCAGTGGCTGATTTTGCACCTCTTTAGAGATCCAAGAGCCAGTGTACCCAGTGGTCAGAGTTAGACCATCCAGATTACAACTATTCACATCCATAAGAGACACATTCAGGGGGCAGACTCAGTGAGCACCAAAGCCCCACTGAAGCAAGTACTACCCAATAAGGGTGTCTCCAGCACAGAAGTTCTCCCACTGCAGACACAATTGGTCCTCACAGCCAATTTACTTGGAGGTCAATTCCTCCCAATGACACCAACAGCAATCAAGGCTTAACTACAACAAGACTGTGCACACAGCCCACAAAGGGGTGCACCAAGAGTGTCCACCTCAGATAATTAGGGAGGCTGAGCCACTGGGCCCTATAGGACACCTAGCACACAAAGCCACTCTGTCAACACGGGAAGCAGCCAAAATGCGGAGACAAAGAAACAGGTCACAAATGAAAGAAATGGAGGAAAGCAAACTACTGGATATAGAGTTCAAAACCACACGTATAAGGTTACTCAAGAATCTTCTAGTAACCTCCAAGAAATATAGTGAGACCCTTAAGAATATAAAAAAGGACCAAAAATAGAAATTAAGCATACACTGACTGAAATAAAGAATAGTATACAGAGATCCAATAGCAGACTAGAGGATCCCAAAAATCAAGTCAAAGATTTGAAATATGAAGAAGCAAAAAACACCCAACTGGAAAAGGAAAAAAAAAAAATTCAAAAATATCAAGATAGTGCAAGGAGCCTCTGGGACAACTTCAAGCATACCAACATCCGAGTTATAGGGGTGCCAGAAGAAGAGAGAGAGCAAGATATTGAAAACCTATTTGAAGAAATAATGACAGAAAACTTCCCCTACCTGGTGAAAGAAATAGACTTACAAGTCCAGGAAGCGCAGAGAACCCCAAACAAAAGGAATCCAAAGAGGACCACACCAAGACACATCATAATTAAAATGCCAAGAGCAAAAGACAAAGAGAGAATCTTAAAAGCAGCAAGAGAAAGAAACTCAGTTACCTACAAGGGAATACCCATACGACTGTCAGCTGATTTCTCAACAGAAACTTGGCAGGCCAGAAGGGAATGGCAAGAAATATTCAAAGTGATGAATAGCAAGAACCTACAACCAAGATTACTCTACTCAGCAAAGCTATCATTTAGAATTGAAGGTCAGATAAAGAGCTTCACAGATAAGAACAAGCTAAACGAGTTCATCACCGCCAAACCAGCATTATATGAAATGTTTAAAGGTATTCTTTAAGAAGAGGAAGAAGGAGAAAAAGGTAAAGATAAAAAATTATGAACAAATACATATCTATCAACAAGTGAATAAAAAATCTGACAAAGAATAAACTGGTGAATAGAATAGATTCAGGGGCATAGAAAGGGAGTGGACTGAC